CCCCTCCCCCTACAATAACCTTGCGACTCCTCCCCCACCCCCTGACTCTTTTATGGGTCAGGACCCCTACAATTACAACACTGTGAAATTTCAGATTTAAATAGCTGAAATAATGAAATTTATGATTTTTAAAATCCTATGACTGTGAAATTGACCAAAATGGACTGTGAATTTGGTAGGACCCTATTCGTAAGTGACCATAAAAATATTGCTATCACCATCTCCTGGTTCATGCTAATAATTATCTTATTTACATTTCAGTTGTGGCAAATGACACTTTTTCATTCTTCTAAAAAGCTGCATAAAATTGCAGTAGGTGGTTGTTTTTATACCTTTGCATAGGAAATTTCAAACCCTATAAAAACATAATTTTTTGGAAAAAAAAAACCTTAAAGTTAAGGAACAGTATTATTACAAATTTATCCATATTAATTTTTCAGACTTACACTCTGTATCATTGATCTTGTTCAAAAATTAATCTAGTATATATTTGTTCAGTAGTTTGTGATTTCTGGATGGGGTCACTTCCCTTCCCCTTTTGCATCGTACCCCCTGTGTTCAGGACCCGCCTCACTCCAAATCTCCCTGAAATTAATTTGAAAATGTTGGTCAATATGACTGCACCTTAACCTAAATTCACTGGTGGCATGATTTGTCATTTTAAAATCATGTTCTCTTTTTAAAATATCTTTCTCCCCTATTGCTGTGAGTACAATCCAACCAATCAGTTTCCCCTGTTTATATAATTACAAAGGTGAAACAGTGCACCCATATAGAAAGTGCTATCAAATAAGCCAAATTAGCTTAAAAACAACTTTTTTTTTTTTAGCGTGGTGTTTTTTGTTTTTTTGCTCCGGTGTTTTGTTGGTATTATTAACAAGGGTATAAAGTTTTTAAAAAGTAATTCAATCAGCAGTGTGATTTAAGGTTGTAGTGATCCTTTAAAAAGAAAATTGTGGTAATGGAAAAGTGCATTACCTAAGTCATTGATCTTACTTGCAATTCGCTGATTGTTTAAAAATTAATATACTCAGCTTTCTCCGGGGAAATGCTTTTGTCACACCAATAGGTTTGAATAAGTTGGGCAGATAGTGGATAACAATTAGATTCATGTGAATTATGTGTGTTTTATTCAAGTTCATGTTTGCATTATACCCATTTGAAACATTTAATGGTTAAAATAAAATAGGGGTAAAGTAGTACTTCATATGATACTGTACACTTGAAGTTTTCTTATTTCAGTCCCAACGTTGGTATTTGGAAACTCACTGCATTTTTATGGTTGAGATAGACTAGCTTATATCTTAAGTAAGGGAACATAATTGAAATTTAAAAAAAAAATGTTTGAAATAAATTCTATACCTATTATTAACACCTCTTACTACTAAAATGACATACCATAAATGCCTAATTTACTCGTAACCCTTCATATATTTTGTTTGTATCATGTCATGTTCTGATCTCTCTGCCAGACTTTGGAGCAGGTGAATGTCTGGTGTTATAGACTGAACAACAGAATGGAGTCATCTGCATATTGTTGGCATCTGAGCCCATAAAGTTTCACTACTTCTACTAGCAGATGCTATTGTGTAGATCCCTATAGTATGCCATGGGTAAAGGAACAATGGCAGAATTGCTACCCTCTGGATATGTCCTGTGAGGAAGAACTCAATCAGTTTCATAGTGTGTTTTTTGGACCCCTGCCACTTCTCTGAGACAGGATAACAGTATCTGTGATTGACTGTACTGACTGCTGTGGGGAAGTTCAAGAGTATGAGTATAGATCTTTTCCCTTTTTCCATGGAAAGAAAGAGAGCAGCCATCAATACTAATACTGTTCCAGATTCTGGCCTGAAACCTGACTCTGTAGGATCGAGGCTACTGATGTTGGACAAATGTCTGAAGATGGCTCTTTGCTAGCTTCTCAACATATTTATGAAGGCAAAAGGGATTAGTAATACAGTAACTCCTCACTTAACGTTGTAGTTATGCTCCTGAAAAATGCAACTTTAAGCGAAACGATGTTAAACTAATCCAATTTCCCCATAAGAATTAATGTAAATGAGGGGGTTAGGTTCCAGGGAAATTTTTTTCACCAGACAAAAGACTACACACACACACACACACACACACACACACACACACACACACACACACACACAC